CTCAGTGTGATGCTGCTGACTTTCCATAAGCGTGTTTCTTCCATGAAGACACGACATTTGTATGTTCCATTATCATGAATCGTCACATTGCTCAGAATCAAAGACGCGTCTCCATCCTTCATCTGTCTGTCCTGCAGATCCACCCGGTTCTTAAAAGATTGATGCTGGTTGTCTGGATCGACCATCTTGTTCCGATAAACAAAGATGTCTTCTGCCTTTAGGCCATCTCTGCTCCACTGTAGAACCCTGATGTTGTTGTTTGGAGTTCGGCATGGCAGAGTGACGTTCTGTGCAGCTTCAGCTGTGACAATTGTCGTGTCTGAAAGAGGACACAACAATGAGCAGAGAGGTTAAAGGGATCCAGGTATAACTGTTCACACTGGTCAAACCACCACACAAGTATTAAATGTTCCTTAATATCATAGTTTTACATCTAGTTCCTATTCTTAATACGTCCCCTAATAAACTGAACAACATATGTTATTCTTGACAGTGTTTTCCAATCATGGCAGATGGTAAATTAGTGCTGTTTATCTAAAACAGTTCAATTAAAAAATAACAAATTATTTTTTCAATATAACTTTATACGACTTCTTAAATGCACACAGTAGCGGTTTTTGATACGGGCGACACAGGCGGTTGCCTGGGGCGGCATCACGGGCATCGGCAAACCGCCTGTTTAGACAAAGTGAATCTGTGAACTAAGGTGTAGGTCTATTAGGTTAGGTTATGGTGATCCTGGAGTTGGGGGATTTGTGTTCATACTGCAGTCCAAAATTAAAACCAATGGAAGATGGACAAGAAAAGTTCAAAGCCATCAGGTGCTCAGTTTAGAAAAAATAGAAAAGAAGAGGAGGAGAAACGAGCAAAAGATACAGGTAAGCAGACGTGTGATTGGATGACGGCAGGTCATCCTGAAACAATCAGAATCAGAATACTTTATTACTAAGGAAATTATGTGAGTTACAGTTGCTCCAACAAAAAGGGTAAAAATAGTAACAGTAACAGACTAAACTCCAAACATTATGTTACAGATTTTAATATTAATTAGTCATTGTCAATTGTTGATTTGTCCTGTTCTCATTGTATGACGAATTATGATGGCTGTTTGGTAGCCGTTTGCATACAATGCATACTCTCCCTCTCTTCATCTCTGTGTGTGTGTGTTTCTCTGGTGAATTTCGACAACAGTTTTATGTTAATGTACAATCCTTAATATGTTTTATATGTGTGTGTGTGTGTGTGGGGGGGGTCAGAGGGAGTGTTCGCCCGGGGCGCCAAACAGGCTAGGACCGCCACTGAATGCACAGAAACAAATGAATGTAATGCACTCCATTTCCACAACAATGCTGACATCAGCAAGTTTTAGTATAGCTCATGAAGTTCTCAGACGACCCCGCCATTGTGGGTCGCGTGTCGGAGGTATATGAACTGGAGTACAGGGGGGTCATCAATGACTTTGTCAGCTGTGTGTGAACAGAACCATCTTTGCATCAAAGCCAGCAAGACGAAGGAGCTGGTGATTGACTTCAGTAAGAAGCCACCCGCTATTACACCAGTGAACATCCAGGGTTGGACATTGAAACGGTGGAGGAGTACAAATACCTGGATGTTCACCTCAATAGCAAATTGGACTGGTCCACGAACACAAATGCACTCTATAAAAAGGGTCTAAGTCGAGACTGACTGTATGAGACTGTACAAGCAGCTCGTTCAGCAGTAGAATTTTTACACCCACAGCGTAGGAAGGAGCGCTACTACAGGTCACTTACTTACTTACTTACTCTGTAACACAGTTTAACATGGTTATCTTACTCATCACCTGTTTAACTGACATATAATATGTTTTTAATTGCTGCTACTCATTCACAGCTTGTTTTACAATGTATATTTCACCAGGAGCATCCATACACCCCCCACACTTGTGTACATGTCTCTGAACATTTTTATCTGTGCATATGAATTTCAGTTGCTTGTGTATATAAGATCACTTTGTGTCTTCCTTCTATATTTTATATTCCTCTTCCTATAAGGAATTAAATTTCTCATTCGTGGGATAATAAAGGTTTATTCTATTCTATGTCCAGCAGGGGTCGTTATAATGGCTCTAATGACTCACTTTCATCCTGTGCTATACTGTGCAATAAAGCTCTTTTCCTTAAGATTAGGAGAACAGAACAGCCACGAAGATGGTTTCTGTTCTCTTCACAGGAAGCATCATTACTATTTGAATGTACCACTAATAAGTGATCACTTTTATTCTCTGATCAGCAAATGGATGAATGAATAGACGTCAGTAACCTCCTGGCTGGTTATGTAGGTAAAATATGTCAAGTGCTCACTAATAAAAGCAGCAGAAAGCAGCAACAAAAGAGCAGAAAGCAAACGAAGAAGCATGTCATTAAGTAAGAAAGGATTATTAGCACATCTCACCTGCAGAAGTAAACTTCAGGAGGAAGATAGAAAACAAAATCCACAAGTGTGACGCAGTTATCAAAACAGCCATTCCTGAGCATAGATCCGCCGATCACGGCGATGTTTTTTTTTTTTCGTTTTCTATAAATGATGTTCCAAATTTGTTTTTAATCGGCTAATCTATTGCTAAATTCAGATTTTTACTTAAACGTCTAGCATCTAGAGCTAATGCTGGAATGAATGAAGGGAAGAAAGTCCGTATTACTTCTTCCGTCAGCCAAGACAGGGGGTGGGACTATAACTTGAATGAAATTGGGTGCTGTTTGATTTTCTACATTCTACATTTTCTACAAGGAGTATACAGTCCTACAGTGAATCACAGGTAAACTCTACAGATTTTAATCAGAACCTTGTATAAATGCCATCTTCAGCTTGTCCCAGAACCGTCCATGTTGTTGTCTTAGAGCAGAGCTTCCCAAAGTGTGGAGCATTTTTCTTGTAAAACAAAGGGGGGAGGGGGGAGGCAGCAAAAAAAGTTTGGGAACCGCTGAACAGACTGAGCTTTAAGAGCTGAACAGCTTTTATCTTTGTTGTAAGTTCTGGTTAAAAAAGAAGGTTTTATGTCTGAGTTTATTAGAAGTCAGCACATAGCTGTGAGGAAGCCTTTTTAAGCTTAAGCACAAATCAGATTGTTATCACTAATTGCTCTGGTAATGAATAACCTGATAACCTGAAGCAAAGCAAAGAGGGTTTGCTGTGTGTTATCTGGCGCTGATTCAGCAGGTTTGTTGTGAAAAGAGGAAAAAATAAATCGCTGTTAAACAGTCAACAGTCTATTTTTTTTTATTATTTTTGTTCTTTACAGCAGAGGGTTAGTGCATCATATTCACAGTAAGATTAAAATCAAACCAAGAACAAGAATTAAACCAGGGAACAAATGAGGCAAAAGTTCTGCATCGGGCTAAACACCATAACAGTCGGGCAGTGTTTGATGTATCATTCACAGAAAATGGTCAGTTAAGTGGAGTGAAGAACACAAAAGACTCCCAAACTTCCTCTTTAAACTTTCCCTCTGCCCTCTTCATTCTGATTTTTCCATTTGTGGTTTTTTTTTCAGAAATAAAAAGAAGAAGAAATAAATGTCCTTTAGAAAAACCCCGAAAATCTGGACATGTTTAACAATAATCATAACTACTGTCATCATTTTCAGTTTGTCCCGAGTGAAAACACTGGAGTAACTGGAGCAGCAGTAAAGCATTTAAACAGGAGGTTGGTATGAATCCTGATTTTACTCTTTATGGTTTCTGTGGATCAAAAAACAACAACAGCAGCAACAAGAATCACAGCAGGAACTACCAGACCAGCTATTACTCCAACAGATCGGCTCTTCTCTCGTCCATTTTCAGCTGTGATCGTTTTCTGGTCTGTCTACAGCAGCCAATCAGATTTTACTGGAATTATTAAACCACCACACACTGAGCACTAAATATAAAGTACTGTTTGCTTTGATGAGCATGAAATGTATGCTTAAAGATGATCATACACAGAAATATTGATTTGGACTTCTGGTTTTACTGTTAGACAGTTAATTAAACATAAGTTATGACTTGGATGTTCATTATATTCAGCACCTTTTGTATTTGTTTCAGACCAAATTCACATGCCCACAAGTTTTTGAACTGCACACCTGTAAGCTTGTGTTTGCATTGCTTTGCTGTTGTGTTGAAGAATGACAGTACAGAAGACAGACATTTATTTAAGAGTCCCATGTGTGCTGACCGAACATCACTGCTATCCAAGGCCTATACGGGCCTGAGTGAATTACAAAGCCAACATCGATGACACTGACTTTCACTCCTCAGTGGAAAAAAAGAATGAAAAGTTTCACAATCTGTCTTTATGTTTCTGCTGCCTCACGTGAACAGACTGAGCTTCAAGAGACAAACAACTTTGTCTTTGTTAAAGACGTTTTACTAACACATGTTCTTAGTTATTTGTAAGTCAGCATATAACTAATAAGACGCCTGTTTTATAAGCCTGTGTTTAAACACAGCTGAAGGTAACACACATCAGATTGTGGTCATTGAATGTTCTGATAATAAATAATGGTGCCACCACCTACAGCAAAGCTCGACGGTTAGCTGTTTGGGAGCCGATCGGCAGGTTAACCATTAGAAGAGACAGACAGACAGCAGCTGAGAGGTGGAGGTTTAATTGCTGTTAAACCTCCACTTGAACAAAAGTTGAAAGGCCAGTCTGACATTCATGTCTGTCTTCACAGCAGTGGATTACTGCAACATATTTACAGGGCAGACTGAAGACTTATTAGAAGAATATATAAAGATAACAAAAGAAAAGAAAAACAACTGGGTATCTCCAACTTGAAAATGATAACTGAATTTAAAAGTTTTCAGATCATTATTAGAGTCTGTACCATTCACTGCTTCACTCCCATCATTGGTCCATGGCAGCTGTAAGACTGTAAACATGCACAGGATATGATTAAATAAATAATATAGAGAGGAGAGCAGGGATGTGTTTGGCAGCCAGCTGGACGTCACTGGTCAGACTGGTCACACTGTGGTGTAGGTGTGTGGCTCAGCTTCAGTGAGGAGTAGATGACCGCTGGCTCTGGTGGAAGATCTGAACAAAAACACACAGATTAGAGAAAGTTTAGATGTGTCAGTCTGCCCCAGGGCAGCTGTGGCTACAACTGTAGCTTGCTTCCACCACTGTGTGAATGAGTGTGTGAATGGGTGGATGACTGGGTGTGTAAAGCGCTTTGGGGTCCCTAGGTGGGACTAGTAAAAGCGCTATACAAATACAGACCATTTACCATGTCAGGAGTCAAACTACCTCTCCTCTCTGTCCTGTAATAATATTATTCTAGTCTTAATGATCACACCTGATTACACCACTTTCACAGTGATACACAATGGTTAAAAAAAAACTATATTTACTATATTTACATAAAACACTTTTTCTCTCAGACCCTGATTTCTCTCCAGCAGCTGTAGATATCGTGTGTTTAACCTCTTCATATATTTCTAATATTATAATTCATCTTCTGTTATGGTTAGTGATGGGTTTGTCTGGCACAGACCCATCACTGGAACGAGACAATTCTACTAATATGGCAAAAGCAAGACGCAAGTCACCAGAGCTCTTTGTGTTGCTCGTGCACGAGGGAGAGAACTGTGACGAGTGCCGTTCCTTCCGCTCGAACCCCAGTCACTCTCGTCTGCTCCCTTGTAGCACTGCTCTTTATTGTGGTTACATGAATATTCATAGGTTCATTAACATATGACGTCTTACACAGTCATACATGTGAACAAAGAGTACCTTGTCTGTGTGTCGTGTAGGTATGTGTGTGTGTCTCTCTCATGACCTTAAGATGCGTGTGCATGCCAGAGTGCTCTGGGAGGCACACAGAGGCTTTGCAGACTGCTAAGGATCAGTTATCCTATCAATATGCAATCAATTATATAATTCTAAGAATATATGGTTATATATTTCTAAGCATAAATGACAATCCACAATATAAACCTTACAGTAAGACTGATCTGACTTGTGGAGCTGATAACCACCTTCATGTGACCTCACTTCTTTCAGTCAGTATCAAAGTAGAGCAACTGTACCTCTGTGCCTGTCGTTTGTTCTGATGGTGATTTCTCCATAACTGACGTCATCTGTTGATGAATAAACTGCAGGTTGATCGCTCTCTGCAAAACAAAACAAAGTCATGTGACTCACATGAAACTCATCATTTAGGATGAGATAAAAATGGAGTTTTCATGAATTAGAGCTGCAAACATGAGGAGACGGCACGTCCTCCCTTTAACCTGAGGTGACTTTAACACCTCTGCTGAGTTTATCTCTCAAAACAGGAAGTTTAATGACCACAGAGCTGCTTGCGTGTCAACACGATGTAACACTCACATTTTGCAGCTTGTAAAGAAAACCCGTTGCTAAGCCGTGAAACCAAAAAATCCAAGTAATATGAAGTAAGAGGCTTTGATCATCTGATCATCACAGAGCTGAACTGTTCTGTGTTCAAATGCTGCACAGAAAACCGAATGTTTCCGCTCGCCATGAGTCCAGTGGACAAACTTAAGGTGTTGGTATTATGTTAACAGGACTGTCTTTTACATTTCAGATTTTAATGTACACATTGGTCTGTAAGAAGTTGATGTATTATTTATGGCTAGTTATGACATTATTTCCTAGTTTTCGTTGGTGTTCTTATATTTTT